TATTGTAAAATAATATAAAAAAAATTTTTATCAATTGTGTAACGATTTTGTGACGTATCAACGTTTCCTCCTGTTTAACAATATCCAACATTACGTGTTGCCATAGCACCTCCCATCTCTGCTGATTTTTGATAATAACTGAATGCCTTATGTTCATCCTTTTCAACACCAATTCCATTTCGATAACAATATCCGACATAATTTATTGCAACTGCATATCCCATGTCTGCAGATTTTTTATAATATTCAAAAGCCTTACGTTCGTCTTTCTCAACATCGATGCCATTTTGGTATTTCCATCCGAGTTCGCGAAGTTCTGCGCCCGTTAAGCTCATGGTTAAAACACAAGATAAAAATATATATTTAGCTTTACGCCAAAAAACTAATATGGCCTTATTTAATCACATATATGTTGTACATATGTACGTACGTACATGTTTTTATACAAAAACAGCTTTAATTTCTTCACAAGTGGGTTCATCTGAATCTGTATCGCTTCATCAACAATCACTTCATAAATATCTTATTTTACCGACAATTAATTTACAGACAAGTTTATTTTGTAAACATTTTTACAACTTAGTTTAAATGAACTTTTATTTTTTGATCAGAAGTTCTTTTTATAACTCGAACGTAATTCTGATTCTAATCCTAATTACTGTAACTTTTACTACTTTATCGTCAAATAAGTTGTTGGTGAAATTAAACTACTTATGACATAACTTGTCTCTGAATTATCTATAAAATAGCTTGTCTATGAATTAATATTAATTGTTTTAAAATAAGATATCTATAAAGTGATGCATTAGTGCACTACGCACCATTACAAATTAATTTCACTGACAACTATTTTTATACTTGCTAGCAAAACCTTGACAGCTTTTAAACCTTAAAAAAACAATTGCTGGCGATAAAAAATTAAATAAAAATATATTACCCTTGGTACTTTGCAAGTATATCTAGACTATTATAAAAATACTTTATATCTTATTCGTTTATATAAAAATTATTAATAAAGTTCAGATTTTAGAATTTGCGCATGGACAAACCTAAACTAGAATATTTTTTAGATTTGTTTAGCAAGTATAATTATCTTTTCAATAATCATTTTATCAACATGTTGGCCAAATTTAAGTTAAAATTGATTATTTATAACTAGCGCTGACTAAAAATAAAAACTACGTACTTAATATTTTATAAAAATTTTTGGATTTTAATAAATTAAAATGGTATTATAAAAGTTAATATTGTCATTCGATAATTCACATTGTAGCTTCATTACTTAATATTTAAATAATAAAAAATTAATTTATATAAAATTATCGTATTCTAAATTATGATTATATATAAAATTTTAATGCGCTAAAGTCATTTTATGATCATATAAAATTTTGATGCGCTAAAAGTCATGTAAATTATATAAAGTTTTATAAAGTTTGTTTTTGTTATTTAAAATTTATTTAAAACAAGAATGACAAAAGTCAATCCAGATCCTACTATACCATTACGAAATACAGTAATGCCAATTTTCAGAGAGTTAAAAATTAATTTTTAACGAATATTTTTTAAAAAATAAGATTATTGTTTATGTTCGTTAAAACTAATCCTTAGCTTTCTGAAAATTATGTGCCTCGGAATAACGTCCCACACGACGAAACGGTAAGGCTTTTTAGTATGATCGTGCAGATTTTCCCAGAACCTGGTCCTATCCAATCAAAAACTATAATCTATTACACTAACGTTTAAGATATTACGTAGAGATTATAATTGCATTATCTAGCCAATTAAAGCCTAATCATGTGAAGGATTTACTACGTGTTAACTATCGACCCAGATCTTGAATTAGAGCTTGGCCCTTGTAAACTAAGTTCCAAGACCAGGTCTTAGCTCCTGATCCTAATGACTTACCATCCTTATGGAGAGGATTTATTTCTGTCACGACTATGCTGCTATTCACTGATACTGTACTGTAAAACTGATTGGACGATTATAACATGATTCGGAATTAACGTTAAGGCAAATATACGTATAGTGATAGTTTATTTAAAAACTTTGAAATATTTTAAATTAAAACTTAAACGTCCAAATAATTAATACATTCTTATACAAATACAAAATTTTTTGTCTAAAAAAGAAAAGAAATATCTATGAAAACAAGGATAATATGTAAGAAAAAAAAATAATGTTGTTCTCAAAGTTATTACTGTTTTTTTTTTTTTTTTGAAAACGAATTTAACAAAAAAAAATTTCTATATCAGTAAGATTATAATATCATTTGACGGACAGGCATATATATTTCTCTATAAAGAGAATCTTCTTATATTTTGTGAATTAACCGTAGAATATTTTAATCATGCAATCGCCTTTACTTCGGTGGTCGTATATTAATCAAGATTAATATGCATCATGCTTTTCCATAATGGGTCTCGTCGTTCTATCAATTAAAAAAAGAATATATATATATATATATATACGTATTAATATAATATTAATATAATTGATGAAATATTTCTAAGTAAATATTGTAAATATTACAAATATTACTTACCGATAAGTAAAGGCCAAGGGTCTGCGTAATTCTGATTGATTGACGGAATAACCGATTGTAACTTCTTACATAATCCTTGATCAAATTGCAACCTCGTGTCTTTAGCAATCCTCAGTTCTCTAATGCATTTTCCATTCTCTCTAGAATAATCAGCAACAACTTCTAAAAGAGTATCATCAAACTTTTCTACATCCAAACTTAACATTTTCAATGGTGCTTTACAATGATCTAACAATTCAGTCATACTTTCTGGCGCCACGTTGTATCGACATTCCAATTGTAAATGTGTTAATGTTGATGGTAATAATTGACCTATTTGTTTAAATGGTGCTATGGTAAACATACAAGAGTTTGGTCCTACATCGCTAATCGCCAAATGTGTTAATGTTGACGTTGATATCCATTTGAGTTGTGATAGAGGTGTTGTGCGAATTGCGAATGAGATTAAATGTGGAATCTGTGTACTTAATATTTGAACCAACTCAGGATTTATAAAATCTATTGATAATTCACGTAATGTCTGAGCAGACATCATAATAATAGATATACAAGTATTTTGTGATAAACCATCTTTAACACTATTATGATGATCATGATTTAAAACTAATTTCGTTATACTAAGTTGACCTGTTTTAAATAATGAATCAGAAAGAGTAATATCTTGTTCTTGATAACAATTTACCAAATACAAAGTTTTTAAATTATGACATTTTGCTAATATTTGTAGCGAATTTTCATCAACGTAAATTTTTCTAAAATCAGCGTATGTCAATGATTTAATTTGACTGGTAAGAGCAGAAAAAATTGAAGCAGATCTTGAAGGATTAAATTGTCCAGCCAGTGCTGAAATCATACTAAATTGCTCTAAACTTTGTTGAGCTTCTATAAGTTTTGGAATTTTTGGAGCTATCGTACCTTCATGATGAGGAGTCAATACTAATTGATGAATATGTGGAGAATTTTCGATTATAATTGATAAAAGATTGGTTAATTGACCTTGATCTATATTTGAACAGTTTATTCTTAATTCATAAATTCGGGAGACTGCTTTGTGAATTCCACTGAATGATGTACAGTCAGTCATGTTGTATCTACTTCGTGATTCACAATCTAAAAGTCTTAGACCATTAGATTTGTTAATTAACATTTCAAAGATTAACCCTTCTAACGTGGCGAAATTAGCTTTCTTTCGAAGCATATAATCAGTTTTTTTTGTCCACCATTGTTCAAGAGCGTTTTGTAAAATTCCAATATGTAATTCTTTAAAATATGAAGGATAATCAAATAATGGTTTTGATTTTGATAAAACGTGACCTTCATCTTCTAATATTTGACGTGCTTCATCAGATAAACATGATAAATAAGTTCTAATCAAAAAATGTCCCGCGTCTTGATCATCTATTAAGTTTAGATTGGAAAATGGGTGACTCCAAAGTAAGGCTGTAGCGTATTGACACCATGATCGATTAACTAATGTCCATGAATATAGGGATGATCGATCATTATCTAAATTCTTGATGATTTCTTCAATACAATCTAATGGAAGCATTGGATTATTCACATATACACTCATTCTTAATGATTTTCGTTTACTCATCTTTACTACTAAATATCTTTAGAATCTAAAAAAAATCTTGATAAAAATTGATTGTGCTTTGAAACATATATTTAATTAATAAAATTTTAATTAGCCAATACTGTATTAAAATCTCTAACAGTACCGTAACACTCAATAATTACCTTAAAACAATTAAATTTAATGTAGAAATATATCATAAAAAAAAAATTTCAATTCAATAATTGAAATTGTTGCCTGGTTTTAACTCGTTAGTTATACAACAATAAATAAAAATTCCTATTTCTTGAAAATCTTAAAAAACAAAGGATTATATAAATTCAAGAAAGCTTCAAGCAATATGAATTTTACGATAAAACAAACTTAGAATAATGGTAATGACAAAATCTTTAAGAGTAATTTTTTTAATCATAAAAAACTAGGCGAAAAATAAAATTTTGAACCTGGCGACTACGATAATTATTAAAAAAAACCGTAAGTACGTTTAGTTCGTACAGTATGGTACGGGCTGTAAATTTATTTCTTAGGTTCAACTAATTTATATTTCGAGTTACACTAGAATTTTTTACAATATGTACTTCCACGCCTTATTACTTTTTTATTTATTTAATATTAAATTATTTCTTTGGTGTTTATAATTACAGTAACACTTTGCAGTTCGTACCGTATCTAATGCATGCAATTGGCGGATTGAACAAAGAATACAAGCATTATTCAATATGCAGTTATAGTACAATGATTCAAAAGTTGGGGATAGATAAAAGCGGCAAGAATTAACATGATAATGACACATGATAGTTTTATTATTTGTCACTTTATCACTCTCTCTGTTAATTTTATTGATATTTTCCTTGCTAATTTTGCGTTTAGGTCTTTTCTTTCTTTTCTTTCAGGATAAAAAAGAAAAAATATACATGTCAAACAATGATTACTAATTTAAGCACGGAGATGTTTCATGACATGATTTTTTACAGATTTATTTGTTAAACAACATATTTGCTATGATCTTAATTTGTTAAAACTTCAAGAATCCATTCTTTTTTTCCTTTTAGTTTGATGTTTATTTTCTAGTTATTTCCGAATTTTATTTGAGTCGTCAGCTTGCATTTTTGTACATCCATGTAAGTCGCCACTTTATTTAAAAAAAGAAATTGTTTTTAGGTATTATTTCAACTGCATGCATTACCATATATGATGATTTTATTCTGATTGGTCAACTTTATACAGTTTTGAATTTGTACAGTCAGTTTAAAGTACTTTTACAACCTATCATACCATATAAGTAACGCCCAAATTTTGGCCAAAATTAAGCTTAATTCTGGTCGCAATTCAAAATCATGCTCCTAGGCGAGCATTGTAAAATTGCCAGTGATCCGTAAGTTACCCATCGGTAATTTACAGATTTACTATTACGCAAATTACAATGTTTATGTTACGTTGTAATTTACGAAATTGTAATGTAACTTTACATTAAATAGACTATTATCATGTGATAATTTTACCACAGAATTTTTACCAGCATTACTATATATCCATCATTATGCTCGGGACTGTATTTTTTTTTTTATGCCAGCTCTATAAAAATTTGTTAACATTCAATGATCAAAATTACATGAAATTCGATTTACTCTGTCTGCTGTTCTGAGATTAATGACGGTCAAGATTAATCTTAACTCCTCATTAGTTTTGGAACAACCCTGCCTTAGGCGTTATTTTTAATGTGATAACGTTAAAATATTACATTAGATTTTTTACAAACGAAGCTTCAGGCATCTCTAAGATTCTCCAAGATTCGCCCTGATTAAGTGTACCTATTTAGGATCAAATTTTAACGTTTAAAATCAGCAACGTGTGGTAATCCCAGGCGTAAAAGCTTCTAATTGGTTACAAAAAGCATAGCTAACTGACGTATAAAAATGTTAGCAATTTTGTGATAATTGTTACAATCAACAAATTGTTTATGCAAGACAATTTCTATATATGAACTAGGGATGGAGGCATATTAAAAATTAGAGAGCAGAGACACGGGAATATTATTGCGATTTAAGGTAAAATTTCGATTTATTTCGGGACATTTGAACAAACATTTCGATTTATTTCGACTAATCAGAAATAAAAACTCTATCTAGGTTAAGAAGGATTTTCAATTCAATTTATTTAACTCTACATAAAATAAAAACGTTCTGATACACTATTAAGCATTCGAAGAGAACCTTGGCTTAAATTTTTTTCTGTATTTAAATTGTTTAACCAGACTGACCATGTTTTATACTATATGATGAATCATGTGGTGATGATCACTAATCTGATTCATATTACTGTATTACTTAAAGTTTTTTTCAAAGATAGCACAAATTCACCAATTGCGCACAAAACCGTAAATAATACAGAAAATTTACTCTAAGTAAAAGTTTTCGGCAAGAAATTTAACTATATAATATAAATTGAATGTTTGAATATATAGAGAATTTTTTAATCTTACGGTCCCATATTTTTGAGTCAGAGGCTCGGAATCTTCTTGATACTGTTACGAAATTTTTCGTAATATTTTATTATTAATATTATTAATAATAGTAATTACTATTACGTACTTACACAATAATTTTCTTTAAATTAAAGTAGTTAAATTTATAAAGGGTTCTTGTACGTAGTAATAATAGCAATAGGAACTTTTTTATCTAATAAACTAATTGAAATAATAAAGTCATTTGTATCACGATCGCCTTTCTTGATTGTTTTATGTTTACGATTCTTGCTAAATCTGGCTATGACATTACAACATAAGAATACTCCTGTATGAGTTGTACCAAAGAAAAAAAATCAATAAGTAATAGTTATATCCTGGGCAGTTGAGTATAAATGGAAATGAAATTTCCGTGAAATTCGCTTATACACAGTGCCCAGATATAACTGATCTATACCCTGCGATCTTGACATAGTTACCAAGGTACAATTAGAGATGGACATCATGCGAATGATGCTCATACATGCGTGCACATAGTGTGTTAAGTTTAGATGTTTCATGATTATTTCAAATTGCGGATTCCGTCATCGGTATGCTGATCAAACTATGCAAATCATATAAACACAAAACTATGTGCACCATTGGAGTATCCGATATACTTATTAATCAAAACTATGTCAGGTATTGAATAATGCAGATTTGTGCATAGATCGGCAAAATCATTAGATTCATTAGCAAGATTAATATCCAAAAAAATCAATTCGTTTCATGTAAAAACTACATTTTTTCAAGAATTTTTGCATCAAATGATTTGAATAGTATAATAAAATCAAGTTACGGTTTAAGATTTTTATTTAACTAATTAAATCTTTTTAAAGATTAAATTAGTAAGAACTTCCGGTAATATATGTTCAAACTAAGAATTTACTTTGTACGTAAAAGAAAAATTTTAAACTAACTTTTTTTTTTTTTAATATATTAGACTAATATTTTGGTGTACGTACGTACGTATAAACTGTGGAGAAAAATATTTGGTACACTGAATCAATTTTTAGAATGTACTAGTAAATTTTAACGATTTTGCTGATCTATGCACAAATCTGCACTACTACGATACCTGACATAGTTTTGATTAATTAGTATACTGTACTATGTCCATCTCTAGTATGTAGTAATAAATCATTATTTATTGATTTTGTAATTTGATTAGCTAATTGTTCATGCATAAAATCGTATAAAATTAACCAATCAAAAGAAAGTTACCCAGATCTAGGCGCGACGCGAAATGTGATTTATGAAAATCAAAACACGTATTTAAAATGCTTAGATCCCAAAAATGGAAATGACAGATTTTATACCGGTCACATTTAATTTCACCCTAAAATGTTGAGGTGTTGAGGCTTGATTATTTTGCGGAAAATTATACAAGACTTTTACAATGAAGTGCTGTCAAGATAGATAGATTTTTGACAACATTCATACAAATAAATTTGAAAAACATTATAAATATACAAAAGATATGTATATGATATCGAATGGTGTGCTAATTATTGACAAGAGTTGATTGAAAATCAAAAAAAAAAACACAAAGAAAAACAGTTGATAATAGTGGTGCATTTTAAGAAAAGAAAAAATAATGAAGGCGTTTTTAAATAAAATCGAAAAATGACAATTTTAAAGTTAAAGAAAACAGAAATATTTTATATACTTTTATTTTTTTACTGTTATTTCACGACAGTCTTAGGGTTAGAAAGTTTTTATAGAACCTTTAGAACACTTTAAGGTTATTTCAAATATGTCATCATGAAGGGTGTATCGATCAAGAAGCTATGATCACAGAATAAGTCTTGCCTGTAAGACAATAATCCTTCATTACTTAGCATTGCCAAAAGTGCTAGGATTCATCTAAAAAACCCAATGGATACATTTTGCGTGTTGCACTTGATGCATTTGGATGTGTCTAAAAACCATCAGGTGATTTTTATAATTTATTATTGTTATGTTTTATTTATACAGTAAAAAGTCAAATTGGCTAAACTTAAAATTTTCTAGAACAATTTTATAAACTCTACGAAAATGGAGTCTAATATATTAGAGATGAAGTTCTTGAAAAATGGCTTCGTTATAATTTCTTTTCATCATTTTTAGGTAAGTTAATAATAAATAATCTATAAGTTTATCAAAATTTGTTGATAATTAAGGGTCTTAGAGCTTAATAACGATCTAAGCAATACTATTTTATTTATACAGAAAGTTTGAACCAAAAATTCTTATGTAATTATATTTTATATTTTAAATAAATTTGTATATCTGTATTTTATTGATTTTTTCTAATCGTAAATAATAAAAGATTTGAAGAAACAAAAATTATTTATTGCAAAACAATCAAAAGAAGCTCTGTATTGGCGAATCATAAATAGAATTAATATCAGGAACTTCACACGTAGACCTTCACAGGGCAGATATAATACTTTCTTCTGTATACAGGAACTTCTGCGCACTATTTACCCACACCTGAATTGGCATATTATGAAGCGAAAAGTGATTATATTATTTT